ATAGGTTTTTTTTTTTTCCCAACAAAATAGGGCTGGGACAACTCAATATTCATATGCAAAAGAATGATGCTGGACCTTACCTCACAACACATACCAAGATAAAATAAAAATGGATCAAAGACAGAAGTGCAAAAGCTAACTCTATAAAATTCTTATTAAGAGAACATATGGATAAATCTTCATAATCTTAGATTTGGAAATGGATTCTAGATATGACAACAAAACCAAGGGCAACAAAAGAAAAAAATAGATACTTGGCTTTATCAAAATTAAAAGCTTTTGTACTTCGAAGAAAACAATCAATAAAGTGAAAACAACCTATAGAATGTAAGAAGATATTTATATATCTTATAAAGGACATATCTAAAGTATATAAAGAGATCTTACAACTAAGTAATAAAAATACAAATAACCCAATAAAAATGTGCAAAAGGTCCAAATAAACATTTCTCCAAAGAAGATATACATGAAAGATATTCAACAAAATTAGTCCTCCGGGAAATGCAAATAAAAAACATGATGAAATTCGACTTTACACTCTCTGAGATGACTAGAATCAAAGTCAGATAAAAACAGGTATTATCCAGGATATGGAGAAATCAGAATCTTCGTACATTGAGATTATAAAATGGTGCATTTGCTTCAGAAAACCATGTGGCAGTTGACCAAAATGTTAAACTGAGTTACCGTATGTCCTAGCAATTCTTCTAGGTGGAAATGAAAACATATGCCTACACAAAAGCTTACATGTGTATGTTTATAGCAACATTATTCATAATACCTCAAACCTGAATACAGCTGTCTATTGAGGGCCCTCCCTGATAGCCCAAAGGGTTAAAGTGCAGCATTGTTAAGCTATCCACAGACACTGCAGCACGATTTAATCCTGAGTGTGTGTGTGTGGGGGGAGTTACTCACATGGCACAGCAGATCTCTCTTGTTCTGCCCACTGTTCCCCTCAGCTGTGTATTTCAGTACATCTGCCTGTTTTGCTCCCCACTCCGTCTCTGGTGAATCTTCTCACACCCTGTACCTCTGGCCTGTACCCCAGTTCTTGTATGCATAAATAAATCTTTAAAAAAACAAACAAATAAATAAAGTGCCTCTTGACTGGCAAATGAATTAATAAATATGGTGTATCTATGCAATGGAATATTATTTACCCAAAAAATGAAAGCATGTAGTAATGATACATGTAAAAATACTAGACATAATACTAAGTTAAAGAAGTTAATAATAAATGACCATGTACTTCATGATTCCTTTCATGTAAAAGCCCAGAATAGGGCTATCTACATAGCAAGTAGACATTTATAGAAATGTAAGCAGCTCACTCCTCTTTCAGGGGCTCATCTTTCTAAGGCTATCCTCTCTAAAAAGTAATTCTTGCCCATCTGTCAGTGATTCAATACCATGTATGTCACTTTTGGTTTTGATTTTTTTAAATTATTTTTATTTTGTGCAGAACTGGAGTATAGGTGGAGGATTCACCTGAGTGGGAGGCAAAACATGCAGTTTTACTGCGATACATTGCTAAGAGGTGCAGTGGACAAGAGAGGTCTGCTGTGCCATATGGGTTAGTTTCTACTGGGTATCAAACTCAGGCCATAGCAATGATAGAGCTGAGATTTAATTTTTAGGCCACCAGGGCCCATAAATGCCTTTATATATATTTCTACATTTTGTATAGAATGATTATATGAGGAATGAAAAACTGAAGTCATGTCTTGAGTAGTAAGCAGCACTTTTTCTTTTTAGTGGGGGGAAATAGCAGTGATAGTGACATGAAACTTTTTTCATACTGTATATTGGATGGTTACTTGATCATATGTAATAATGTCAAGAAAATGAAATATAATAAAGAGAAAAATTCAGATTTGTGTACACAGATATAGCAAAAAGCACAAAGTTGTATAATTGATAGGCTGCTAGAGATGTTTCTTTGGACAAGGGATCTTATCTGGTGCTCCATTTTATTCATCTATCAATTAACTGAACTGGAAGATATAAGCTTCCACTCAAGTCCAAAATTCTGTAATTCTAGATCATAAAATATTAAATTTAAAAACAGCATACATTTAATGATGCTAAAACTCTAGTTCTGACCAGATGCACAAAATAAACCCCTACCTTCAAAAACCCTAGGTTGTTGGCCTCCTATGAAATGCCACTTAGTGTCAACAATGCTTCACTGACTAGTAAAGGGGTGTGTGTGTGTGTGTGCATGTGCGTGTGTGCGTGCACGTGCGCACACTTGAGAATGCCAAGGAGTTCTTTCTTGCTTTCAAGCACTTGGCTGTAGCTGGTCGCACATGAGCATAAACACATGCACGTGTGCTCACACATGAGCACACACACACAACTTAGGAAACATTTGTGTTGGGGTGTTACAATTCTAAGTTCAGTAGAATCAAAGAAAGAAATCTTTCAAATTGATAGCAAGTGAACTCTTCCTGTTCTCTTCTTAAGATCCATTAACTCTGTCAACAGTGATGTCAAGTAGCTAATTCATAAGCCAAAAATAAATCAAATGTAATTACAATGACTGTTAACAAATCTCAAAATATTACATTAAAATGCATTAATGATTGAAACTGAACTTGAACAGACTATCCTATCATAGTAATATTAAAGGTCTTCCAAACTGGATGGCTTCTGGTTCATGTGTTTGGTAATTTTGTATATGCTCCAGCTAACCTCAAATTATTGCTCAGCTGCTAAAAGCTGGAAAGCAATCCACTTTCATTGGTATAAAAGTTGTAAAACAGGGCCCTCCTTGGTTAAAGCACAGCACTGTGAAGCTAGCTGCAGCGGCTTCAGCCTGAGTTGGATTCCTGGCCACGGAGGTGACCCACATGGCACAGCAGATGTCCCCTGCCTCGCCTGCTGCTGCTCCTCTCAGCAGTGTACTTGTTCATCTGTCTGTTCCGCTCCCCACTATCGTCTCACTGCCCCTGCACCTCTGGCCTGTACCCTAATTCTGTATGCATAAATAAATCGATCTTTAAAAATAAGTTGTAAAACAATCTAATTCCTTTACTTATCTACAAAGTGGAGAATATGAAATTACTGAGAATCAAAGAATAAAGTTATGAAATTGCAAACTGTAATCTACCCTAAGTTATCCTTTTGCTTGGTTGAGCATGTAACCAGCATTAATGAGTTAGTTCAAGCAAAAAAAAAAGATGGTTCTTGGCTTTCCCTGGTGGTGCAGCGGGTTAAAGCACAGCACTAAGAAGCTAAAGCCACTTCAGCATGAGTTGGATCCCCACCCAGATGTGATCCACATGTCCACATGGTGCTGCAGACCTCTTCTGACCCGTCCACTGCTCCCCTCAGCAGTGTACTTCATCAGTCATCCTGTTCTGCTCCCCACTCAGTCTCTGGTGAATTTTCTCACCACCCCTGCACCTCTGGCCTGTACCCCAGTTCTTTATGCATAAATAAATAAATATTTAAAAAAAGATAGATGATTCTTAAATAATGCCTTTTGATGGTCAAGTACCTGACACAGTGTATCTTATGAATATTCTTTTCAATTTTAAAGCCTACACCTTGACTCAATTCTTATCTTTAAGAAATATAGATTTCAAAAATATGTACATTCAGTACTGCCAGGTTATAGATGTGTTATTGTTCATTATATTGAACATAAACCTCAATACCAGAAAAAAATGTAAAGGCACTTGGGTTTTCAGTTTAGTTGGAACTGAATTTATTAAATTTTATTTAACAGGTTCAAGTGTGAGTAATGAAACTTATAGGTATCTGATAATCTTCTACTAAATAAATACATTTATATATATGTCTATATGTATATTTATCGGACTACATTAGCACACATATTGTCAGAAAGAACTCATTAGAGACAAAAACATTTTACACTTTTAATAGAAAAACCTTTATAACATAGCTAAATGAACCATAAATTTAACTTCAAAAGGTTAAAGCAGAATTCTATTAATAAATGCACTGAAATACTATTGAAATAAACCATCTTTACAGAAAAATATTAATCCATGCCAAATTCTATTAAAGTGCATAAAAAGAAAATTTATATTAGAACTTGTACCAAAGGCACATTACAAATACATTATGTTACTCTGATACAATAAGGCAGGAAGTCCGGCCTCAGGAACACAATCTTGATCTTAATATAGTCTGCCTCTTAGTACATGCCTCGTAAATAATTGATCCAAAAGTTAAAAATTACAAGCAAGTTTCTCTGTCGACAGTTGTATGGTAATTTTGGGAAGAGTTAAAATATCTTAGTTCTTATTTTGCTAATTTTCTAAAGTCTTGTCAATGTCACAAGAAATGTCTGATTATTGCTTTTAATGAAAACTGACATTTTTCAATTCTAAACAAATTAAATAATATTTAACATCTATAAAAATACGAGTAATTTTTCTGGGTATGTTCAGGTTGTATTTTAAAAAATAATTTAAATCATTAAATCTTTTACTTTAAATGGTAAAATAAAGTGATATAATTACTTGCATAGCCAACGTGAACAGTTACTTTCTTAAGACCAAATGATGAACAAAATAAGAAACACACACAGAGGTGATGAATGGACCTGTCCGTTAAGCCATGAAACTTCTAATAGAAAGTAAAATAGGCCCTCCCTGGTGGCGCAGCGGGTTAAAGCACAGCACTGAGAATCTAAAGCCACTTCCACATGAGTTCGATTTCTGCCTGCCCAGGAGGTGACCACATGGCGTGGCAGACCTCTCCTGACCTGCCCGCTGCTCCCCTCAGCAGTGTACTTCGTTGATCTGCCTGTTCTGTTCCCCACTCTGTCTCTGGTGAAGCCTCTCACCGCCCCTGAGCCTCTGGCCTGTACCCCAGTTCTGTATGCACAAATAAATAAATCTTTAAAAAAAAAAAAGTAAAATAGCTATTGTCCTTTCAGTTAGTATCTTTCTCATTTTTAAAACCAGCTCAAGTGTAAAACAATACCAACATGGAGTCATTCACACATAAACACATGTCACTCATCATCTCATACAATGACTTTAATTTAGATTAGCCAAAGACATGATGATGGTTTAATCAAAATGAAAAACAGAAAAAGATTTATTTTCAAAGATGGAACCCATGAGAAGACTAGTAAGGAATCCTTTGAACACAGAGAATATCAGCAACAAATTTCCAATATTACAGAAAACAATTTATCAATATCTATTACAATACAAAGGAGTATAATAAATGTTTTCTAAGAGAACCAACTTACTTTTACATAAATCAAGTTAACAAATATTTATAAATTATTCATGTACTTTCATATGTAGTTTATTTTGTTATTTATATTTGTTTTTCTGGTTAATAGCTTTTTCCTAATCTCACATCAAAATCTTCCCATCTTTTCTCTGGAAAGTCACAACTATCAGTATGGCCATGGTAAACCAGAAAAGTGGCAATTCACCAAAATCTATTTTTACCTATGTAATAAATAAAACTATTGTAAGGCTAATTTCCCCTAGTTTGTACAAAAACAATTCCATTATTCTATGAAAAATAATGATTATACTGATTTTTACTATGGCTCAAACCTTAGACAAATATCTGAGTTAATGTAAAGGAAACTGAGTAAGCTTTATGATTATATTTAAACTATTAAATAGCTGTAAAAAGTATCAATTATTAAAATAGGATATACACTTAATTTATACTAAATTCCACACAGATTTATACAATATTTCATTCTTAAGTTTTTAAATACAGACATCATGATTTTTTTACAAACACTATCAAGTACATACAAAATTGAAAAATGACATCCAAGTCAGACTGATCTTAAAACAAGGAACCGCTAAACCACTAGTAATGTACAATGTGTAAAATTCCAAAACACAGATAATTTTCTTAGAGAAAAGTTATTAGTCCTATAACACTGAGCGATATTTACAAGCAAACATGATCCAAACAGCACATGCAGATTCAGGGTAGGTAAACACTCGGACACGAACTGCCAATCGCACTTGGTCCCCACGACAACAGATTATTTCTTCACAGAAAGGAGACCTATAAAAGAGAAATTTTATTAAATTAAGAACTGAACAAAGTATTTCAATTAAAAAAAAAAAAAACCTCCTATCCCTGCTACTAAAGACTCGAACTTTGGTTGAGCTATTCAAATGACTATTTCCCCACAGTCTATAAATTATAAAAAAATTACAAGATCATAGATACTAAACTGATATTGCACCAAAACTAGTGGGAAAATTATCCTAGAATAGTAAAGCAACATTTCAAACCTAATGAAATCTATGACAAGGTAGACCACTTATTATAAAAGGCCCTCCTTGTGATTCTGAAGTCATTCCTTAAAAAGCTATCAGACAGTCTAAGATTCCTAACCAAAAACTTTTATGAATTTATTAATTCCACTTTACCGAAGACAAGTGGCAAATGCACGTCTTGCATTTCTATACACAAAATGTATTGGGAATCCTTTAAATGTGTGACCGTCAGGTACAGCCCTCCTTATGGCATCTTGAAATTCTTCATTCCCTGCAGATATACTTGTTGTCCGCTCAAATTCATAGGAAGCCAAAGCCGGTGATAAAAGATAGGAAAGCTGGTCTTCCCAAACAGTAGTGAGGCCAAGGTCCTACAGCAACGAGAAAATAGTGTGAAAAACAGTGTGCCTTTATGCAACAGTAAGGCCAATAGCCTAATCTTGACCCAAAAAGCCTTATCAATAACACTGTCATTAACACATATTTTTATATTATATTGTATAAAATATTCTTAAGGTCACAAAAAATAGTCTTATAGTACTAGACTATTTACAGACACTACTGTAAGTTTACATCATCTGTACATAAGAAAATCTACTTACGTGGACCCAAACAGTTCAAACCTGTGTTGTTCAAAGGTCAACTGTACATTAATACATTACAAAACAATTTTAAAATGTTGATTATTTTAATGTATGCCTTTCATAATTTTTATACTTCCTATTTATTACTATAAAAATTACTATGGAAATAAAATAAATGGAACTATAGGTATCAATTTACTTCCTGGATAAATTAGCAAAAAACTTTTAAAATAATGATGTCCACAAGGCTGCAAGTCCTATAGTCCCTCAAAGTCTATTGGATAGGACCATATGGAGTAACAATCCTACTATAGAAGACAGAGTATTAGTACATTCTGAAATCAAATTTTATTTAACTTAAGAGTTTTAACAAGATTGAATCTGCTTAATTTGATTGCTCCAACCATAAATTCAAATACAGGAAGGAAGAAAAGTTAACAAACTGTTTATACAATTAAGTACAAATATTTACTGAGTCTTACTCTGTAAAAGGTACTAGCTTTTACATGTAGAAATAAAAAGGAAAAAACATGCTACAGGCCCTCTGGGAGCTTAAACATGTTTCTAAGGCAATTATTATTTCATTTATAACATCAAATGAACTACTGACACTTAGAAACATTTGAAGAATAAGCTTAAAATCCAAAATGTTTAAATCATTATTGGGAAGTCCCAAAAGGTGAATTAGCATTTAGCATTTCCAGATTTCATATTCAAAATTTTAACTTGTTCCAAAACTTCCATCATCTATTATTTTTCCAAAAATTTTTATTTTTCTAAAAAAGTGAATCTCACTTGATGATTTATAGGCATTTAGCTAATGATCAACAATGGTATTGAGCTCAACCTTGTTTTTTGTAAAGTAATTCTTATAATAATGGTTTTATTTGTGAACAAAGAAAAAAGACAATATAAGTGATGGTGGGAGACAGATGATAATAATGAGGGGTTTTCATTTAGATCTCTGATGAATCTACTGCTAAAAACTTTTAAAACAGGACCCTTCCTGGTGGCGCAATGGGTTAGGATATAGCACTGCAAGCGAGCTGCAGCCACTTCAGCCGGATCCCCAGCCCC